AAACAATGGCCCTTCCGAAGGCAACTCTTTGCCTTTTCATCCACGGTTCAAGATGCTCCTTCATAAACGCTATGTATGCATCAGCAGTCATTTTGACGCCACCTGGCACTCTCCATGGGCCCACGAATGTTTTTCCAATAATACCACCCCAGATCATTATGCCTCCACCGCCTTGTTGGCGTCTCAAACGCTGATGGCTATTCTGTCCGTTCATTACCCAGACTTTGCACCATCTATCTGCCCCATCAAGTGTTGCTCGAGTTTCGTCTGTGAACAAAACTTTAGAGAAGTCAATTTTCATATTGTCCTCGGTCCATTTCAATCAATTTCGAATGTGATTTCTCATCAACGGAGGCTTCGATACAAGTTTGACTGTTGTTGCTATTTTCCTCAGATACCAACACCGAGTACTTTTAGACACAGTAGGGTCCCCAATGCGACTGAAAAGCTCTTGACTAGTAAGTCGAGGGTTCTTCGTGGCCTGCCCTTTTGCGTACTTGTGTAGGGTCGGCGGTGAACTTTTTCAGTGTTTGATGACACCTCCCTATCATTTTAGAATTTCTAGGGTAGATTTACATTTTGAGAGTTCTGATAGTTTTCATTTCAGCATCACTTAAACTGCTTTTACGGCCCATCTTTTCACTAAATTCATACACTTTTCTAACAATTTGGCACGCTCAAATCACCGTGCTGATAACAAATATGGCGCCAGTTTATTTACTTTGCGCAGATCAAAATATATATATATATATATATATATATATATATATATATATATATATATATATATATATATATATATATATATATATATATATATATATATATATATATATATAGGATATATATATATATATATATATATATATATATATATGGGGGATAAAATGATATATAAATGTTTATATAATATAAAAATGTTCGGAAAATCAATGATAAAGTGGAAAAATAATGTGATGTTCACGTTGATGTAACTCAATATGCACACGAATGGATGGTCGATTCCACCCTATCACCTCTTTCATGCAAAAAAAAGTCGCGTGCCTCTCGCTACTCTCAAACTATGTCTATGTCATGTGTTCCAACGAGCTATATTCCCTGGTTACTCAATCCTATATGAACAAATATAAATCATTCTCATTCCCCGGACAGGTTCTTCCCAACCAATGCCGCTTTGTGGAACAGACTCCCAGTAGGATGTTTTTCCAATCATTCTATTCATGACCTCTTCAAATCTAGGGTTAACCGTGATCTTTCTTGCATAATCTCAGGACCTTTACTTTTTGCTATTTCTTACTCTCATGCACTACACAGTGACCCTCTACATCAAGTGAATCTTAAGCTTTATATTGAGTTAGCATTAGAAAAAAAAACCTGTTAATGTATTTGCAACTTTTATTTTTCAGAATAATTTTGAAATCTTTCAAGGTTAATAATGGAGCTTAGAGCCTTTTATTGCTCCTTCCTGGGAATGGAACGTTTGCTATTTTGATGTGATTAACATAAGTGCATATTCACCCACTCAACAGACGTGGTATAGAACAGAGGTCAAATTTTGATAACGTTCGTACTGGCCAAAAGTTACGGTATTCATCACATTCACAAGGCTATGAATGCAACTCAGGACATCCTAACTCGGGATTTGAACTCTTACCACTAACTTCTTTATTCCACCGCCGTATCCTTTCAATTATATCCTACTCATAAAACAAGTATCTTGTGTATAGATACTTTTCTATGTGTTCATATGGTGCTAAGAATTGGAATGGGTGGTTACAAAACAAAAACAATATAAAAGTCAATTTCCGTTTTTCTTCTGAACTGAGCCGAAAAGAATATAGATAAACCCAGGAAGTTAATGCTAAAAAAACAAAATTTTATACAAAAAAAACTCTTATTTAAATAAAAAACAATGATTAATGTATAATATTGTTTTCATTGGAAATTTAGAAAGGATAGTGAAGCAAAAAGATGAATTGACTCGGCAAGTTCAGACTAAGATTCCATCAGAGAGCGAGAGAAAGTCATTTTGTTATCTGATAATATTAATTCTTCTTATGAAGCGAACATTTATTTTCGATTAGATTGTGGTTATTATGTCTGCCGTCTGTAAATGAAAATAAACGGAATATGAAAGAAGAGATTCTTTACAAAATACGAGGTATTTAATTTGCTTTTTCTTGAAAGAATGACGACGATTTCGTTAGGTTGTATTTCATCTAGGAAGTTAACTGGCTTGCTGAAATGTGTTTTATATGATAATTTCCTGTTAAATTTTATTGAGACTCTCACGAGATATTCGTTTTGTAATATTAAAAATGAACTTTATCGAAATTTAAACAAAAGACTTGGCGGGAATGTTTCGATGCGGACATCGGCAGCGAAATCACCCTCACCATCTTTTCATATCTTTTTTTTTGTCGTTCTTGATTTTTTTCTTTTTCCTGTTTCTTTCTTGCTTTCTTTCTTTCTGCAATTCCCAGAGAAACTATAGTGCAAGAGTAAAAGAGAAGAGTCCATATTGTAAAACAGGCTTTTCTATCAATGGCTTAGCCTGCATTTCAACCACTGAGATAAGACTTGCCTCTCTAGAGAGATTCACTAGCCACTAGAGGACCGGTAACCGACATAGAAAACCTTCTTAAATGTTCGTTCAGGAAGCCAACATAGGCACGCACGCGTATGCGTGCACACACACACACACACACACACACACACACACACACACACACACACACACACACACACACATGTGCATGTGTGTGTTTGTGTGGATTTGTGTGTGGGAGTGGGTTTTAAAATTTAGAAAATAATATAAAAATTATCTCCTACTCTTGAATAGATAACTTGCACTTTGCAGACCCCCAACCATGTGACCACCTACTATATTAATTCAAATAGGGGTAAGGGATGCACATGTATTCCCGAGCAACCTTCGTTGTCCGCCTTCTCCCATTGGGTTTGTTCGTCCTCAAGTGCTTGTTTCGATGTCTTTAGGTCTCGGACCGTTGTGATGTTTCTGACCCAAGCAAGAGTTCAGATGCCTTGACATTTGGGCAGACGCGATATGTCGACTCGGAGAATCACGCAAGTATTTTCTTTCCTGATTTGATTGTCCCTTCATTAAGGGTGCTGAAGGTAGACAATTTCTGGGTTTGGGCGTCATCCGTTTGATAGTTAGGAATCGGAACCTTCGAGGAACTTCGAAGGAGGCTATCAGCAGATTTATGATATCGGGGCTTCTGTACTGACATTTTGTGAATGGTCTCTGCATCGGGCAGTAGTCTCCGGTGGGGTCTGTCGATGCCACCATGACGGGTACCGCTACGGTTGTATCTCTAGAAGACGTCTCTCCAAGTTGTCTATACATTTGACTCCTGCGGTTGTTTCTGCCTCTCTGTCTATTAGTATTCCTCCAACCAATCAAAATACAAATGAAAAAAAACAACTTTCAAACTCAACCTAAAAAGAAAACAAAGCAGACACTTCGTGTATCATCTCTTACACCAAAATGAAGGCTCTACGTTCCAACATTTCAGAAGTGGAACACCATCTTCTCCAATCTAAAACAAACCTCCTGCTACTTTCTGAAATTAGTATCAACATCTCATGTGGAGTTCACAGTCCCGGGTTACTCACCTCTCACAGACAAACATGACCATGAGTGCTTCACGTGGCGGGATGGAGGCGGCGTCATTACTCTTGACCAATACATCAGTCATAGCTCGAGTGTCGGCAAGCAAACATGGCGGTGACGAAGCAGTTTGTTCGGGGGTTGTCTGCTTTATGAATTTAAGGTGGGATTGTCCGCAGTCGCATTAATTCGTCGGATACGTCAAGTCTTTGGGGATAATGTTGTAAGCGAACGCACTGCCAGACATTAGTTCCAGACGTCTAGGTCGATAAATCTGTTCCTTTGTCATGAACTCCGCAGTGGGCGAGGACAACAGCCAAATCTGTTGTGAGCTTCCGAACTTTTCCAGGTTTCTGATAAAACTTTAAGACTTCCACTGCACCACATAGAGAAGGCTTACAAGTTAAGCAAGTGGGTTACCCACACACTGTCGAAAGCCAACAAGCAACAACGCGTGACAGCCTGTTTCTCGTTGCCTTCTCGGCACCACAACGTACCCATATTTGATCGAGTGCTCACCAGTGAGGAAAGATTGGTCGCATGGAACACTCCTAAGCATGCCAGACATTGGTTGTCTCTGCTCCCCACACTACCGCTACACACACGCAAGATCATACTTTGTATTTGGTGGACTAGTTGATAAGTGCTGTACTATAAGCTGCTATCAGCGGGCCAAACTATCACTGCAGACCTGTACTCACAACAGTTTGATTGGTCATTCTAGGTTTTGTAACAATGTTTGATCAATTTGATTGGTCATTCTAGCTTTTGTAACAATGTTTGATCAATTTGATTGGTCATTCTAGCTTTTGTAACAATGTTTTCCCCTAGCGAAGGATCGTTAATTAATTTGAAACTTTTAAAACCATTTATTTTATATTCAACATCATCACTTGATAAGACACCGAGGGTGTTGAAACAAAATGGCTATTTTGAAGTGATTTTATAACATATTTATCTTATAAATTTTTTTTAGAAAAAATAATATATATATATATATATATATATATATATATATATATATATATATATATATATATATATGTGTGTGTGTTTGTAATTTCGTAAACTGACAGAATTCGTTGAAGTTTTACACAATATTTGATCTGTGTGATGATATAGAAATGCTGTATTAAATGCATTGACCAGAATGTTTTTATTTTTCATTAAGCTGTAGATTTATTGTTATATATACTTATATATGCATTGTCCTAGCCGCATATGTGTTTCTGCCTCTCTCTCTCTCTCTCTCTCTCTCCCGCACACCTCTCTCTCTCCCGCACACCTCTCTCTCTCCCGCACACCTCTCTCTCCTCCTCTCTCTCTCTCTCTCTCTCTCTCTCTCTCTCTCTCTCTCGGCTAACGAGGCCATATCACCTTGAAACATTGGTTTTCGTACGATCATCAAAGTTAAGCAACGACGAATCTATTCAGTACCTAGATGGGTGACCACATGGGAATACCAGATGCTGTAAGCTTGGATGTGCGGGTGATGTAATGCATAACGGCTGGGAATTGGAAATCGCAGAGCCGATTTTCAATTCCAGTCGTCTTCGTTATATTAACTTAAGCGCAAATACCCTTGGGAATGATATGAATCCACCACTTTTCCCCCAACTATGGGTTAATTAGTAAATCATTATTATCTGCAAAAAAATTGTTACAATCTTCAAAAACATTTTCTTGCTTTAAATAACTTGCAAAGGGTTGATAAGCTAGTAATTTAAAAATAAAAAAATAAAACTCTGTGTGTGTGTGTGTGACTTTTATATATTGTTACGGTATGCATTGTGACGTTGTGTGCTAGTCTTAGAATTTTCTCGTTAACCATCAGTACGTCTTTTAAGAAACTTACCTTTTAAGACACATCGATCCCGAATTAATTTTTCAAACGACGAATCAATGTTGAAAGATGGACTAAACTTTTTCTATTGAGTTCTTATCACCACACCCACTACTGCAGCTCGATTGACTGAAGACATTTTTTTTTCGAAAAGTATTTTCTTCTTATTGACATGGACGATATTCCCTTACATTGCATGCATTTCTACACAGCGTTACAAATAAATTATTTCGTGTTATTTTGCACAAGGTGTCATTTTATAAAAAGCCAATTTAATTTTAAACTATTCCAATGCATATTGAAAATCATCTTACCGGTTGTAACGATTAACTTCGTTTTTGTTACAATAATATTGTTAATTAAAAGCTAAAAGCCGACATAATATCTCACCGTGAAAGATATTCCCCGCCCGAAAGCCTAAGTGTATAATTCTAGAACTATGTCTGCAGCGAGATTGTTTAAATTGGAGCAAGCCTAAGTCATTCAAGATGCGAGGAAAGAAACATAAAATTAAACAAGAAACTGGAAACACCTTTGGGAATCTTATAATTACTTAAAAGCTTCTCTTCCCAAGTAATTCAGACGAATCAAAGGAAGTCGACTCCGAAGAAAGACATTTCACATCAGAACTACCGTTTTTCAAGACGCAGAAAAGCATCATCTTATAAAAGCAATGATAAAAATCGGGCAAAAATAAAAAAAACAGCTCAATTCTATCAGCTTCTACATATTATATACACTCTCCGTGCTATTTGAGCAACCGAGATAAGAAAGAATGAAAAATATTGAGGTATCTACTTTCATGGCGAGAAAACAAGATAATTTTAAGAGTGTATGAAAGAATAACTAAGTTATTTAACATGGGTCGATATCTGCTTCGTTTAATTACTTTGTTCACGGGCCGCACATACATAAAATACACTTTCTGACAAATTGGAGCAAACTCATATGGAAGAACATGGACATTTGTATAGATTGCCGTGTGTAAGAACTAAAGGAGAATAACTGAATGTGTGTCTATATTTTTGCGCGTGTGTCTATGCGGTGCATCTAAACAGCTCGATGAATTGCGATGCCTAGTCTTATAAGATTATTACAACTGAGATGCACTATGCATGCGCCTATGTACTTACGTTTAATATTCTGGTTACGTGTTCACGAGTCTGATTAGTCAATAAGTACTGAGTACTTATTTCGATCCCCACCGGGTGTCAGCTGAGGAGTTGCTTCAAACTGAGTTTAGTAAATAAGAACAGTTCATTGAGAAGTGAATGAAAGAAACAGCTTCTTCAAAGAAAGCGAAAATTGACATGATGAAATTATTTGTCATCTCTTGGAAAGCTTTCAAGAGATGTGGAAAAAGCGAGTAACAGCAAAAATTGGGTAACAGATGCAGGTATCCAACTTACCCAAAATTTACAATACATTCTTCTGTAACTCACTAAAAACGCCATGATAAGTGATCGACTAAAAATGGCGTTCAAGAATGAAACAGACTGTCGTCGGTCGGTGTTGATCTCTGTGTCCACTTTTATATTAGTATACAATCTTCAGCAATTTTACCCATAAATGTAACATACCTTAAAATTATATTTTTTATAATATATACATATATATATGTATGTATATATATATTGTCATATAACAATAAATCTACAGCTTAATAAAAATAAAAAACATTCTGGTCAATGCATTTAATACAGCATTTCTATATCATCGCACAGATCGAATATTGTGTAAAACTTCAACTTCAATATATATATATATACTTATATATATACATATACTTATATATATATATTTACCATATATGTATATACATAACATATATATATTTTATCACACACACACACATATATATATATATATATATATATATATATATTATTACATATATATATATTATTACATATATATATATATATATTATATATATATATATATTTATCACACACATATATATATTTATTTATCATATACGTATATTTATCATATATATATGTATATATATATTTATTTTTCATATATATATATATTTATTTATTATATATATATGTATATATATATTTTTATTATATATATGTATATATATCATATATATATACATATATATTTATCATATATATGTGTATATATATATATTTATATCATATATATTTATATATATATATATTTATATCATATATATATTTATTTATATCATATATATATTTATCATATTTTTATCATATATATATGTATATCATATATATATATATTTATTTACTTATATATATATATACTTATCATATATATGTATATACTTATCATATATATATACATACATATACATATCTGTATATATCTCTCTCTCTCTATATATATATATATGTGTGTATATATATATATATATATATATATATATATATATATATATATATATATATATATTAATTCATTGCTTAAACGTTATTTTTTATGGATGCCTATATTTCAGTAGATACTCTGTTTATTTATTAAAAATATACTTATTTCTTTCCATGTACCGATCCTGAATATTCGCAAAATCTTATTAGAAAAGTATGCGTTCTCCGCGGGGAAAACGTCATTAGATCTGATGATCTTTTCTCTACTCGACGACGAAGAACCTATAGTCCAAAACAAGAGCCGAATAGTGTTATTGAACACAGACCTTTCCCTATTCTCTGCTCAGTTTCGTATCCTAACGTAAACCAAGAAATTGTTTTTCATTTTTATTCCGACATATTTTAATTTATTGCTTAAACTTTGCTTTTTATGTCAACCGATATTTGATTAGATGCTCTTTTTGTCATGAATATTCGTGAAATGTTATGAGAAAAACATGTGTTTTATTAGACTAAAAGAAACATGGCAGTCAACGATCATGTAATGCAAGACAACATATACTTTTTTATGTAGAGAGGAATGAAGAAAAATCTACACACGTAGATTAAATAAAGAATACAATTCGAAAAGCCATTCGGATCGATAGACACCTGAAGGAAGATGGCGGAGACCACAGCTGAAACGTTCTGATAATAACAGCAAAAATGAGGAAATTAATACGAATGTAGATAATGCAAATAATCGTAATTACTCATCCCAGAAATTCAGATATAATACATTTAAGATTTCTTAACTCTGCGAGGAATCTTGCATCTGGATAAAGTATTTTAATTCCGAAAATCTCTTGTTACGATTTGTTTTTTATTTTTTTAATTATTTTTTTATTATCACGCCAACGAGAAGACATTAAAATTCAAGACTTTGTTTATCCCTATGATGATTACGGTAATCGGGATTAATGCCATTTGTCGATTTCACGTGCAGTCGTTTCATCCATATTTTATCAACTGAAATACTTTTTTACTTTTAAACAAAATAAAAATGTGCATTCCACACAGTTTGTTATTTATGTACATACATAAAGACGTCGACCTTGTTGATGGTCGAGGTTGTCACATAACTAGACATCGGTACGAATGATCAGTGTTCGATGCCAGGATAAAACCGAGAATTTTGATGTTATATTTTTCAGGTCTTGCGCCTTCATAAATCTACTATTCGCCCGATCATTGAATATTGCTGCTACATGTGAACTGGTGCTCCTGCTATATATCTAACGAGATTCTTCTTAACAAAATCCAAAGAATAATCTGTAATGTTATAGGTCCTGACCTGGCACCTAATCTTCAGTCACTTTCCCACCGCCGTAACGTAGATTCCCTGGGCTTTTTTCTATGAATATATTCATGGCAATTTTTCTCTTTGGCACCTGGGGTTAATTAATTTAAACGTAGTACCAGATAGGTAACTAAATTTCATCATTTTACCATTGATGTAGGTAAATATAGATATAAATAAATCGATTCTAATAGTTTCTTCCCTCAAATTTCTAGTTTACGGAAATTTCTTGCATTCCAGACGAACTCTTCAAAAACGTAAACGCAACATCAGTCGCCATCTTGTCTTTCTGAGCCACTTCTTTTATTGTCTTTTCTCCTCACTAACCCTTTCTCATTTTCTGTAACTTCTTGCGGCTTAGTATCATTATCGCCTTGCTTAGGATAAAATGATTAAAAAAAATAAAAACATTGTATCTTTAACCCTTACTTCATGCGGTTCATTATCTAGTGCGCCAGATTAAAAAAAGAACAAGTTCACAACACACGGGCATAGACGCTAACAACAAAAAGTAAAAGAAACCGTCAGATATCGGGATTAACAGTTAAAGGATGTGTTAATGATGTCACCGGAAATGGTTTCACCTCTTGATGTCTGGAGTTTTCCAACGGTGATTGGCTGTTGTTATAATGAACAGTTTTTGCCTAGACGAAGTGATTTTCAATAAATACAAGACGATGCTTGAAGGCCGTTAACCTCCCATCGAAAGCGAAAATAATCTTTAGGAAAGATAAGAGTTTCACATAGAATTTTGACAGAATTTTTTTGAGGAAAAACAATCTTAGACACATATAATAAATGGTATACGGATATGTTTTCTGTGTTTATATATATACTTATATATTATTTCTCAGACTCAAACGATCAGGTACTCATGCACATACACGCACACACACACACACACACATATATATATATATATATATATATATATATATATATATATTAA